CATTTATTCTGCTAATATCAGCGAAATTTTTTCAATTCTGCTACACCGAAAGTTTACGTCGATCATTAATTATTTGCACTGCATTCGATGTATTTCATTGTGCTATGATGAATGAAGCTTTGGTTGTATTAGTTCAAGTTAACGATCACTGTGACTGATGGTTTGTGCATTTTATTTCTCACTCATTACATCAGTCGAGGATATTGCCGAGCATTCGCGTTGTTTGAATGTGAACCACGTTGCAATCAATGAAACCTTATGCATCCTTCATCACTATTCCATCGTTCTAGGAACGATCCGAAGATGTTCGATAGGGCATAAATGCCTAATTCATTGACAATGTTCCATACAATATACTCGCTCGATCTACATGCATGCTCATAGTCTTTAATTACTCTGCCACACCAACAGAGACTACTTGTTTAAAAATATATGAGACCAATCAAGAATGGTCAGCAGTGGAAGAATGAGCCAATAGTCCAACATTTTTGTGGAAAACGGTGAATTATTCGAAAAGCGATGATGGAATAAATGTAACGAAAACGACCCTCTTCGAAACAATGGAAATTCGCATAGAAACTATCAATGTGAGAATTTGCTTGTAGATATGCATATGTGAGCGAGTTCCATCACAAAGACGTATCTAATTGAATGAATGAAAAATGAATTGATTATAAACCGCTTTCAGTTGATGTGTAAGTTAAGCAGATTAAGCAATTATCGATAAAGTTGAAATTTCATGCTTTGTAAATTAAATTTAGTCAGTTACAGAGATTTTTGAGAGATTTGAACTATCTAAATGAAACTTAATCATTGGTGATTAGCTTAAACAGCACGTTGTTTTCAACTGAATCTGAATATGAACGCATTTCTAAAGAAAACGTTCTCATGGATTCAGTAACATTTTAATTAATCATAATCGAAGAACGGATTTGCAATAGTTCAAAGGAGTGTGTTGAGATGATGATTGCAATTAACAGTAAATTACGTTTATATCTAGTGAATTGTCAAAGTTGAGCCCTGTTCATTTTCTCTCTACTTTTCAGATTTCTCTAACAACGACATCAAAGTTTAACAAAGAATTTGGATCGACGCGGAATCTGTTTCTGCATGCTGTTCGTGCTAGCCGCGACACAATCACATATTTCACCAATCCACCAGTGCAAAATTTTATGCAACTCATAATTCGCAAGTTAACATCATCATCAGTTGTAGAGATTTTTCGAAAGATCGATAAAGTTTATGATTGTTCGAAAGAAAATTTATCGCTGTTGATCAGGTCAGAGCGCCAGTTTTCTTGTACAGTTGTCTTGACCACTTTTGCTGTTTCTCATCCTGAACACTTGAAGGAAGATAACTTTTTGGTGAAATTTCTTGAGAATTATCTCTGATCATATGAAATGCCAGAACTGTGAGTAGTTTTGCTAAATGCAATGGTTTATAAAGCAACAATTTGCAGCTTAATGAATTCTTGGTCATAAAATTCGACTTGATGAATAGCCATTGCATATGATGTGTATTGTTCTACTGTACAATGCCAAAGTTGAAGATAGTAGAGCATAAGAGATTTGTAAAGTGTAAATCGCGACTTGCCCACAGTATTACACAGAATGTGAATGGTTAATGATCTCTGAGCATAAACCTCATTAATAACAAGCAACTGTTTGAATGATAGCAACTCCAATAAATCCACCAATAACGTATCAATTGAACCACTTCGAAACTACTTCATATCCTTTAAGAATTTTATTTTAATTTCAATACACTTCGCCCAATCCAAACTCTACATCGCATAATATGATACATTTTTCAAACACAAAATTTTGATAGTTTATAAAAGAGAATCATTTCACAACTATCAACAAAACGCCTCATAAAAACGAAATTCCAGCAGATCATTTCATCAGATAAACAAAACGAATGTTTCAAATTCGTTTTGTCTGGTGATTTCAGTCTATTTTTAAAAGTATCTTGTTTCTGTTCAATTTCAGCGATTTTCAAAGCCAATTTTACTTGCAATATCTTTCATCAACGAGGTTCGCAAAAAAAAACTGAGTAATCTAAAACGGTCAATGATGCAGTGAATTGACTTATTATTCAGATAATCTGAATGTAAATGTTTGAATAGTGGCGATCAAATTTATGAAGCATTCAGCTTTGCGTAGAATTGATAAAGTTCAACTAACATATTTCAAGCATACAAATGACTGAATTTCAGTAAAATCGTTTGTAAGAAAACGGTTCATTTGAANTTTTTTTGTTATATTGTTTATTTTGACTTTATGATTTTATCAATCATTCGTTTTTGTTCCATATAACAATTCTTAATATCCTTTTTACTTGTTGCAATGAAATTTTGTTGATTCTTGTATTGCAGACGAACGAGTATCTGCAATATCTTCTTTTTTTCCCGACAAAAATTCCTCTATAAAACCGATCGCAGACATTTCGCTATCACATTTTCTGTGGTGGCTCTATATGATCGTGGTAAACACCGTACTCCAAAGCTTTCTTGTGCAACGATGTGTTTATCTGTTCCAGCTCCAAACTCGTCTTCTCATTAATCGTTGTTTCCTTGAGTCATTCCGTCCATTGTGATTGAATCGCTTGTTAGTTTCACGACAGAGATTCGAAATTAACTACCCACTCTTCTCCACTACTTTGAACAACGACTTATTTCGGAACATTTTTGCTCGTTGAATACACAAGACATAGTGCATTTTGTTGTAACGAAATTACAGCAGTTGAATTAGTTGAGGCGAGAGTTCATCTTGATATAAATACATATCAACGAATAAATGAGAACGAATGAAAGCAACAGAAATGCAATCTTAATTAATGACCAACAATTGTTAAATACTTTAAACACAAACGATTTCATTTCAGCACTTTAGCTCAGTCGTTGTTGAATTTCTTATAGCCTCAATCGAGCACTCCATATCCTTCTCTGAAGCAGACGTGAGGATGTGTTGCCCTAAGATCTTCCAATAAAAATTTTACCTTCATGTTGATTTCATTGCTATTATAATTGTCATTATTCTTACTGTCATCTTTTGCGATTAACGTTACAATCGGTGTCGTGTTTGTGAAAATGACTCTGTCATATCATATGCAATGGTTATGAAAAATGATGATATGAAGTAAATAAGATGAACCTAAACTAAGATCCTCATTATCAGGCTAAAATGTTGCGAGCAGCAGTGATACTATCGTTATGCTTTGTATACTCTCTCGCCTACACAATTCCAGCCTCAATGAGTGCAATCCCTGAGGAGTTCAAAGGTTCGTTGCTTCAAAATTATTATCCATTACCTTTAAAAGCACATTATGCAACCTCGCTATGTGAATATACTTTTAGTGAAATCATCAACCTTCCTATTCTAAATCAATCAATTGCAATTTATTCAGCAACAATTCCAAATCAATTCTCATTCAGACAACACCGTTCATCTAGGTGTTTTAGCATTAAATATCTTTGATCTGGGATCACGATTCAAAGTCAGAATCAGCCATTTGCTGCATCAAAACAATCAGATTTCGATCTATCTTCTATCAAAGCATCATCCATTTATATGAACTCATAATGCATGCGAGAACGTAACGTGCGAAAGAGCAATAAACAGCGGTGATGATGAGGAACTTGAAATTTAGAATTCATACCCGAAAAAGTGCGAGAATTCTACAAGCAGTTGACGCCCGAGGATAAAGAAGCACTGCGTGAAGTGGTTGCTGGACATGCTGATTATGCAAATGTTGATGACGCATTGAATGCGCTGAAAGAGAAAAATGAGAAATTATACCAGAAGGCACTTGAAGTTCACCAAATGATCAAAACTAAAGTCGACAGCTTGACACCTCCGGCAAAAGCCTTTGTGGATTCGGTTGGTTATTGAAGTTTCTATCATTATAATTGCTATCACCATTGTTAGAATTACTGCAAATGTTATTACTATTACTATCAATACCACATTCTATTCTATGAGAAATGATTAGCATAGCAAATAACAAGATCATTGTCAATCTGTCGTGAATGATTAGTTGCTGCTTTGCAGAAGACATAATACATTGCACATTGCATTCTGCCTAAATTCGCGCATAAATGCCCTTACAATTATTGTTCGCAAAACATCAAATTACACTTGGATTGTTTCTGTCATAGCAAGACAGTACAATAGTCAACCTGCAACAGTGATACTGCCAAACATGTCGTGAAAATGATTAAAGCAAACAACATCGCCTTGAAGTATGAGGTGACCAAGATTAACGAGCGAGAACTATACTAATCTGTTAAGGTCTTCGAAAAAATGAGGGAGCTCCGTCCAGCAGCTGGTGAAAAGCCAAATCTTGAGCAGGTCAAGACAGCAGTTCGTGAAGTGGTCGACAAATACAAGGCTCTACCAGAACCTGCCAAACAAGATCTGAAAACGCACTTCCCAACTGTCACAAGACTCATCCAAAGTTTGTTTTTCATTCAATTCATTTTCTTCATAATGGCACGCCACCTTCTCCTCAAACGGTGCACAATCACAAAAATCTGATTGTATGGTGGAACAGACCTTGAGTTCTAGTTGAGTATAAAATACAGCTTACTACGTGGTAGGTTCAGGCTCAGGCTAAGGCTCAAAACTGAGCTCCATTCTGCTAATTGTAAGGCTTAGATTTGAGCTTACATTCGCATCGAAGGTGCGTGATCAAATGGCATGCAATCGTTTTCTAATGCCATTTGACCCACGACAACACTGGGTTGTTGGACCGAACGTCCTATCGTCCGGTTCGTAGAACTTCAAATTCACGGATAAAGTCAACAAGAACAACACAAATTTCTCAATTCAAAATCATAACTTATTGCAAATGTTTTCGTTTCAGATGAAAAATTCAGAAAACTCGCCAAGGGATTCCTCAACAAACAACCTTAAAATAGCTCAATTATGACTGTCGCTCTCAACTGTTAAAGCATTTTCAAGACAAACAATCCATCAGACTATCCTCTTCAATCAACAAGAATATCCTCTTAATTAAATGCACTCATCGAAGAATAAAATACAATTAATTAAATATTGTTATCGTTAAACATTAACTGGTCATTATTTATCTAATGCATTTATAAATGTGATCATCACTTTTTCGACAAATAAATGTTTTCCTTTTCTACAATTTTACTGATTTCTTGCACTGAATACAACGAGCACCTACAATTTGACAGCATTTTATTCATATTAACTACAATTACTACAATAAGGATAATAATAATCAAGTAATAACGGCTTTAAACAGTGTTATCGAATGAAATGAGCACATTTGGAGATATCAATTGCAATTTTGATAATACGATTTGAAAGATGAAACCATCATTCATCTTTGATTGAATCTTTATCGTTAGATGTCGAAGAACGCAGCGAATGTTCATCATTTTAATCTTTCGGATCTGTCGTACTCTTCTCCTTGGAATCATCTTTTGCGGTATTGCTTGTGTCTCGTGATGAGGAATTTTTCGCTCTTTTTCCATCTTCAGCGGCATTTTCTTTAGTTGGTCTTCAATAATCATTCGTCACTATCGCTGCCATAATTCTGATCAGTTCAGCTAACAGTTTTGTTATTATAAGCTTTCATATTGCACCACATTGACCATATAACACATAAGAAATTCAAACGAAAATTTTGAATGTTCTACTACATGATGAAAACTGACCGATGAACAAATGATAATAGATATCCAATAGCTCAAACTGATAAATAAATAAAAAAACAATGTACGGTTTGGGTTTCTTTCGTCGAATGATCTTTATTGATGTGATATTCGCAAATCTCGGGTGTCGACCACTCAGAGTTATGTCAACTTCATCACGATTTACAATTTTCTTCACTCGTTTGCGCTACAATATCAATAGTATTATTGTTAATCAAAATACCATTAGGATGTTTTTGAGTTTTTTACATACGATACAATTCTGTAATTCAATGGCAACGAGATTCAGTATCCTCCTTCACTATCGTCTTTTCATTCATTATCATTTCTTAAAATTTTCATCACATTGTTCCTCTTTTTCTAAAACTTCAGATCCGTTCTATGAGAGTGTCAGTAATTGTAATATGGTCAATGTAATACTCAACTGGAGTTCGGCCGAAATTTTATTCATGTATTTCTGCATTTGAGAAAACAGTATGCAAGATGATAGTGACGGATTATGGATTAATTCAATTTATGGAATAATTTTAATTTATGGATTAAGATGAGATGGATTAATTTATGGGCGTCGCAGTCGGCAGGTATTCGTGAGCCTATCGTGCTTCAGTAATAATTCAACAACAACGATCACGAAAGGTGCAATTCGGATCTGAATCGAACAGAGTGAATTTGGATTAACCCTTCTGGCTGATGATATAAATTTCATAGATGATGAATTAAGATCGTCACTCTTCACACGTTCCACGTCTGGCAATAAACGTTTCGTCTTCAGTTCTTTCAGTTCATGCACAACCTGATTTTCTAGGATCATCAGTACTGATATGGACAGCTTATTGTCATTGCATATCACTATTAGTGACATTGCACATATATTGCTGAATATTTCTCTTCGCACACAATATTCTCAAGATTCATTGATTTCAACGACTTAGAGCACTTGTATGTTCCCGCTGGGCACGTGAAACGAATGTTGCACTGATATCAGGTCTTTTTTTTTAATCCTTTAGTTCCTCGAGAGTGCCGCTTAAAAGACCCTCAGTTGCATTCCATCACAAGAAAACAAATGTTAGTAAAAAGAACATAAAATCAAACTTCTTTCATAGAACAACGAAAATCTGGATTTGATATCCAACATTTCTCAACTATGCTAAATGTTTCATTTGAACAGCCTTTCGGTCTGGCTAATCTATCGCCTTTTTCCACCTGAAAAATACTTCTTCTCTTATCATAACGCTGCAAATGCGTTTCTAACAAACACAAAATTTTCAAGTGAATAATTCAAATCATATTTCAACCTATTGGCGTCCCGCATGATAGTGTATTAATGTGAACGCCTCTCGTTTCCTCTATTGCTTCGGATTAAATTTTGTTTGAAATCAATCGCAGAAATCTTTGTAGCTTATAAAATATGAAACAGACTGAAATACACAAACCATTCGTCTCACTTCAATGTTTGTTTTATGTGCATAAGGCTCGTCACCATCCGTTAAAACTTCCCACATAAAAATCGCAAATGAATAGACATCCGTTTTCGCGGTGAATTTAAACGTTGTAAAACTTTCTGGTGCTGTCCATCGTAATGGTATCTTTTTACTTCTTCTCACAACATAGCAGTCACCCACATACGATAATCCAAAATCACTTATTTTTGCCTTGAAAATCTTCAAGTTAGCTTATCGCTGATGCTTTCTTTTCGAATGTGTCTATTCGAAGAATTCGATTCGAAAAGAATTCAACGTCTATTTGCACCCGAAAACAATCGAAGAATTGATCTGATTCGACCGTACAATTGATCACTTATTGGTTCTTGTAATAACATGAATATTGCGTGTGAAATGAATAGAATAATATTTCTGATTGATAAACATGAATAACATGCCTGACTGTGTGAAAATGAATAATCAAATAATCGAACTGATCAATGAAATTCACAAAGATGATAAACGAACAATTTTATCATGCGTGTATAAAACGTTTCTTGCAGCGATATCGCGATGTATGCAGCGATGTGCATGTAAGTAAGCAAGGCCCTCTGCCGTACCTAAGCACATGTGACCTGCTTTCTCGTATTCTGAAATGTGTCCACGACGCGAATGTAATACTTCGAGGATGCATCCACCTTTAATCTGAAATTTGATGACAGTGTTGCATGTGTTCCCTGTGAAGGTTCTTCGAACAATTTTGTGTGATTCATTAGAGTTCATTAGAGTTTTGTGTGATTCATTAGGCCCCTCGGTCCTCCCTTGAGAACAACATGCGATTCTCAACTTTGCTCCACGAACCCTCCTACCTTCCCAGTTTGCGGTCCATCTCGCCAGAATGCCTCTAACAACCTTCTCCAATCCTAATATCTAATGATAAGCATGAATTCATATTTAGTAAAAAACGTGACAAACACAACTAGAATAATGACGACATACAAGTTCAAGGATAATCATGATCGGTTCCTTATGAACTGCAACACCGTACGTTTTCAGTATGTTCTCATGCTTGAAAAGTCGCATCAATCGTGCTTCGTGCAGTAACTCTTTAAGTTGTTCTTTATTTAATCTGTGACCGGAGTCATCCTCTTTACCCTGTCAAATTCATGCGTTCATTATTTTCATCGGTATTGCTTTCATTGTGATCATTAACTCTGTTAGTGTATTGTTATTCTTATTATTATGATTACCTTTAATACTCAGATTGTTATTATTATTCTGAGCATTATCATTATTCTTATTGATACCATTGATATCTTTATTGATATCATTATTGCATTATTATCACTCCTATTATGAATTTCCATTGCAACACTTCTTTGGTTAATTTCGTTGCTATCCACAAGAAGTGTGAGGAAACAAACCAATTTTACGGCAACTTTCTTCAATTTCCCTTTAATTACAACTTCACCAGCCTTGACATCGCCAAACTGTCCTGTTCCAATAACACTTTTCAATTTTACATCATCGTTGCGAAACTCCCACGGTTGTTGTTTGATGCCTCGTATCAGTATTGATTCTTTTACCTGAATATTACTTCAAAAATTGATCTTTTTCGTGCTGCACTGATCACAACAGTTTATTGGTGCAGTTTTTCACCTAGATCGAGGAGACCGAATAAAATCTTTTATCGTGCAAATGAAGTTCTCACTGCCTTCCGACTGTTGCACTTACGACGAATCGCATTCACAATGAGGATTTCCAAGGAAATCTCTGGTAAAAATGGTCAACACGGAGATCTCATTCAGCAAAACTGTTTCAAAAAATCACAATGACGCATCAGCTGTTCAAATTAAGCTCATTTTATCTGCAAATGATCATTCACGGTTTAGAATCTAGTGTTTTAGTTGTAAATGTAGCGTATGCTTCATAAATTCATAGTGCATTCCTCTGAAATTTATAACGTACATTAATATCACTATAAACGAAAAGTTACCTTCAGGTACTGCGACCTATGGATGCGCGTTATCTGAAGGTAACCATGCATTCATACTGACTCGCTTTCCTCGTCACTGATAGCACTGTGGCACAAGAGAACTAACTCACTGAGTTAAGTGATCTTATGGCAAAACAACAGAACTAGCTACATTGTTCAAGGCTGAGACAGAAAAATCAACAAGTCCGAATTACAAGCTTTCGCAATCGCTTTCATAATCATCGATTGTATTTTATGCTTCATAAAAAACAGATCATTCTATCGAGCTTAATGAGGTGTGCACAAGAAAGAACACTTTTCGGTGCAGTGCGATCAGTGCAAAGCTTTACAACAATACTACTACTACTACCATCGATTAGCGAAGTAATGTTTCAAAAAACGAAACGATTTCAAAATGAATGAAATGAGTGTAGCAGTACGGCGGGAAGAATAGGCCTTTTAGATCTGACATAGGTGTCGATAAGTTCCTTGAGCGACCCGAATTTAGTGTTCTCGAATGCCCTCCATTCATCTTTACCGTCAACCTTTTTCACTCGAAGCACAATATGTCGAAACTGCAATACAAAAAGAATTGCTCAGTGCTGATGTGCATTTCCAACGTTCGAAAAAATATTTCATCTGATGTGTCACATGTTTTGAAATTTTGCTGGTGTTTTTTCAAACTGCTATTCTATTTTCAATTAGACGAATAAACAGTGTCAGTTCACAGACAGACAGTTAAAGAAGTATGCAGGGTTCAGCCACTCAGGTTGAATTTGAGGCTGAGGCTTAGGCTAACAGACTTGGGTTTGAGAGGGGGCTTAGGCTCGCCCGTCGATGGCATTAGTGGTGATGTTTTTCGTTAACTATCGGTGGAATATGTCTCGGTTGCGTGAGAAGGAGTGTAGCGCTCCGAAAGGATACTGGTGTTGTGCAGAAGTACAAAAATATAAGTAACGACCCATTGATCGTTCATTTCGTCGATTTCTTCGAATTCTATTGTCAGTCATATCCCAGAATGGCAATTTTTCGTTGACCGCAAATAAATTCGCATAATGATAATCATTAAAAGTGGATATTCATTCAAGCCGCATAATTCTATACAGTAGTAAGGATGATGAATTTAATTTGGATGTGTCAAGTAAAGATTAAATTATTATTGATATCAGTTGGTGGATGAGGAGTTTGAAATTTTCAGATAAAATAAACGAACCGATTTTTGACATTTAACCGATAGTGTTTTGACAGAAAGAACCAAAATGCGGTGATTATCACGTGTATTGGACGGTGTTGATCGAGTTACAAAATCGCCAATCTACAATTAATTATTGCATTGTACATGTCTAAAATAAAATGAGATAAATTGTTAGTGGATATGTTGACATTTCAGTGGGGTAATTGCTTCTACTAAATCGAATTCGAATGCGCACAAATTTCTTTAAGGATAGAAATTCGGCGTGTCAAAGTGAGCTCATGAATCCGAGCAGTGTTTTGCATCATTTGTTATGAACTGATGTCACGACATTGAAAAGGTATCAGCATGAAAGGCACAATTTAAGATTATTGACATTAGGCGAGATCCGTTGCTTTAGATGAGCTGGAATGATAAACATTGATTAAGGGGGACGACAGAATGAATGATTACCTCTTTTAGAAGGAAAGGTAGATCTTCTTTAGGTAAGAGACCATGATAGTATTCGTCACCTTCGAAACTTAATTGTACATCTTCAGTTGACGATGTCGCAGCTTTCTCCGTATCTTTTGAGCCTTGTGTATCGGTCTTTTTTGTATCTTTTCCCGAGTCATCCTTGTCATTCATTCGAAGTAAATTTAAATTTGAATTCACCTCTTGATCACTTTGATCCATTTTCTTGAAGTTATTATTTTCATTACCATCATCATTATTAAATCATCAAATTATTACTCCTATTCTTGTTTTCTCATCATGAATAATAATGAATGCGATAAAGGAAGACAGGTTAGCATCAGATATATTTATGAACGAATAAAGATCGAAACTCAATCACCGACTTACTTCGCAAGTGTGATATGCTCACACAACAACCTACAAACAACTAACTATACAAATATGACAATCATACGCAATTCACCGTTTTATATATGGAAATAAAAATCAACATAAATGTAAATTCCTTGATTAACGTTTGCATAAAAAATCATTTGATATGAAAAACATGAAGAAAAACAAATTGCAAACTGGTTCAAATGTTGTGTGCAAATTGAATCAAAATACTCCAAATTTGTGTTGAGGTCGAATTATAATTCGACATCTATGGATGACAAAATACGAACAAACATTGCAATGAAATCTTTTGGCCTCTCTTTCCTTTTGCAGATGGATCACGGTGATTGTGAGCTCACCGCCATTTTTCATGTGAGGAAGTCCATCAATAACAATATATAATTCGACTGGGGCGTTTATATTGTGTGATGAATACTTAGAAGAACAACCCGGAACTTATTAATCCCTTTTGATTGAAGCATATGTAGCGATGATGGGCGAAGGCACACTGTGGCAAATTCCGTGTTATTCTAACTCGAGTTGCTTAATGTTTCGAGTTGTGATCAGCTGAGTTCATATCAAGCCTAAGCCTAAGCCTAAGCCTAAGCCTAAGCCTAAGCCTACATCATATACACAAGTATGGCTGCTGCGTTCATTCAAATACTTGTCCACACGAATTTGAATCAAACCGTCAGGCTTTAAATTCAGTTTTGAATCACTAAATTATATTGCTAAATAATTCAGTTTCAAATTAATAAATTCAATCATAATGAAGATTAGGAAAGCGACAATTTCAATATGGTTTCTCTTTAGTGCTCCTCATCAGCAGCATTCCATGGTGAAATTCTCATCGATATGTCTGTCTGTTTTATCGAAAGGAATTTCACCACAATATCTTAAGGAAGTGAATATCGCACGTGAAAGTTATCTTGGTTGCTGGATTTAAGAAAGTTAATGATTCATCAACACCATCTGAACCTTTACGAAACACATCAATTTTTCAAATGCATTATGTGACTTTCCCAATTACTAATGCATTATGTCCAGGCGACCTGTGCCATCATCTTCCATACGATTTAGCAATTCTTACGTTCATCTCGTCGAATACTCATTTATTCCTCTCAAATTCGATAGGCCAACGCTTTTACGATGAGCAAACATTCAGTCTTGGATTACACGGAAAAAATCACAACTTGTTGATGATCATAAATAATCGTTGTTCGTTATCATTGTGCATTGAACTGTTTACTGTTTCAAACGAATAAATATTGAATTGACTTGAAATGTAGAAAATGGCTAATTTATCTTAAATCACAAATCATCATAGATGACAATATCTTTCAATTGTCTGAAGCACCATGATCGTAGGAGTCAACGTACCGACACCTTGTCCAACCATGCATTGCTCCTTCTTTTGCATCTTTTCAATTATTTTATTGGAATTCATTTCTTGCAAAGGATGTGAAACGGCCCCATTTGAACAATAATCTTTGCTCGTTTATTTCATCGAATTTTCGAAGATTATGAATTACTTTTATAGTGTTTGACAAGTTTTTGTATTACGCTCAAATCTCTTCTATTTGCAGTTCTCGTTAGAGGTAGAAATAATCTTGTTTTTGGTAGAATATAATTGTTTATTAGTGTCGTTGTTATTTTTTGACTTAGGTTTCTCGGAATTGCTTTAAAATGATAAAAGACTCCTAGTATAATTCCTACTTTAAGGAGTCTGTCCGTTAGGTCCAGCAAACATTTCAACCTCTTAAGATATAGCATCTCATAGAATTCCATTTCGCTCCGCAATATTGCTCAACGAGAGTTATCATATGCGAGTGGGCAAATATCGGCAGAGTTATTGTATGGGAGAATTCGGGTTCTAGCGGGTGATTTTGAACTTCAAAGATTGATACATTCCAAATGATACAACCACTTGAAGGTGTGGCTGGCAGAAATCATTTCTTATGGCTGAAATCTTGTATGAATATTTGGCTCATTTATTGATGTCACATGTAAAATCTATGAGGGTCATACTTTGCAATTAGCTACAACGTCTTCAGAGTGCTTACTAGGTACTTCCAGATATGGATGGGAAAGTCATCTTCAGTCGGCTGCATCCTTAATGGAACTAAATGTTTCGCTGAGGAAGGCTGAGATCTTCTAATCTATACCAACTTAAAACCACCATCCGCAATATGATTCCGCACATTCAACTAATCGACGAAATTACCCAAAAAACGTTCAGCACGAAAACAATATCCACTTAATATTTTATCATTCATCAACAAAAACAATTAGCAACAGCCTAAGCCTAAGCCTAAGCCTAAGCCTAAGCCTAAGCCTAAGCCTAAGCCTAAGCCTAAGCCTAAGCCTAAGCCTNAGTTTGTAACGAGAAGTGAAATTGGATATCTAAAATCAAAACCACAATAAATTTCATTCCACAATTTTATGGATTTCACTCAGACCCTCCAATACACGGAACAAGTTTCAGATTCGTAATCAGTGAAGAGGATATCGAGACGTTACAAACAAACAAACAGAAAACTTGTCATTACATATGAAGTGAAAATTTATCGTTTAGACGCACGAAATAACTACCACTGATCACTTCGACCTTTCGATACGAATAATTTATTCGAATTCATGCCAACTTTGAGCCATTTCTGTGCGTTAAGACGTCGCATGAAGCGAATATCTTTCGCTCGTTGAACAGCCAATGTACCTAATAACAAGCATCATGAAACGGTGAACATTCATCACGTTCTATAACATAATTCGACAACAACTGCCTACTGAATGACTCGACATTCCTTCCCCATCAAATGGATAAATGAATTCTGTAACCGAGCAATTTCCAAATACAACTCGAGATAAGGGTATTTTACTTTCGATGAATTTCATAACTATACGCCCAAACGTCCCAAAAGTGTATTTTGTATATCGATCAATATTTCACATTCAATATACATTTTTACAAGGAAACGAGGAGGAATATTTCATTTGGAAGACAAATTTAAAAATTAAAACGTCACAATTAATTAACCAGTCAACTGTAGATTCAAAAAACCGACCTGTGGTACCCGTCCAACCAATCGCTTTGTACTGTCCGATCAGTTTATTGATCGCTTCCCGATTTGTTAACTTTCTATTCCCAGTTTCACCTTGTCCATTCAACGGTTTCAAATGCTGACGATAGTATCGCATCAAAGAACGATGACCCAATCGAGCGCCTTCAATCAGTAAAACTTCAGTTACTTACTTTCAGTGTCGTCAGGAAAACGACTGGCTGCATTTAGCGCAAAATAGAGTTCAGTTTTACAATACACATCATTTGTTACACTGCGAATAATATTTCAGACAATCCAACAAACCAATGAATATAATCTCAATAATCATGATAACGATAATAACACTACCTGATGGTAAAATTAATGAGTAACCATCTTCGATCAAAATATCGTTTGGTTCACCACCCTCTTCTGTACCCTCTGGATACATTGAACTAGAATTTCCATCATTGCACTCACAAGTTTGAGCATGTAAAATTGATAGGCTACTCAACAATGCACACTTCCTTTCATGGACAGCAATAGAGACAAACAAAATTGCTCAAGAGAAAAACCAAACAAACGAAACTGCTGAAAGGATAAACCAAATGAACCTGTAATCATAGAATTCCTCAAATTCAAGCATAGCCATCCCTTCATGAGCGACTCGACAATGCGCCTTATCTCGCATATGTTTCTGACATGCATCCATTGATCGGAACCGTTTACCTTTCTCATTACACAACAAACATATATTACCACTACCAACCTTTAGACCTTAAATCAACACTCGAATTCGAATATTAATGTTCCACATTTAACAACTCGATCAATGGCACTCAAAGATTCAAAAGTCGTAAAAATTCGTAAAATCGGAAATTCAGCGAAGAAGTTCTTATGAAGAATTGAGCGCACGAAACGCACCAAGGTAATGCAGCATTCCCTGAATATCGATGCAGTATTCAGCATCAGGCAAAAAGAAACCATGCGAAACGCCCATATGTTCGAGATTACGTTCCATCGTGTTCGACTGATGAGAACAAAACAAACAACACGTTGTGGGGATTGCCTTCAAGTTCGTATTTGAATTTTAGAATGAAATTTGTCGCAATTAAATGATCATCGTTTAATTGAACTGATAACTTGTACCCAATTGGAATTCAATTTAACTGTACTGATGCTTATTGAAAATATTCATTCACGCAGATAGAACGTCATCAACATCACCGATGTGATGATCTTTTAGAGAAAGGATTATTTTGGATAACTGAAGGAGTAATTCGCGCAGTAATTATTCGGCATTAGCAATTCACTTTTCGTGTTATATTATCATATACCCGAATAATCGCCAGAAAATTATTCGTCGCAGTTCCTAATCAAGACGCATATCAAAAAAGAACATTACTGCGATAACTAACTTTTGACTCATCAAATTCAACATCATCCTCATCTTCAGTTCCATGGTCTGTTACCCATCCTTCACTGTCGGAACCATCCACATCTTCTTCAGATTCAGAGCCGTTCATTTCTCTATCGATTTTCGATTCCGCATCCAGCACTTCTTGTGAAACTATCGATTTCTGCTGACTCGGTGATGAAGACGAATTTGAAATGGTGTGTTGGGGTTCTGTCTTAAAGGCATGTGTTAATTTTAAAAGAAGTACTGGCACTCTTCTATTTTAACAGTTAACTGTCGCATTTTGAGCGAAAATTTTTTCAAGTCCGAAAGAGAAGGCTCTCTCACATCACTTTTCTCTTTGCTTCCATTACGAACATCGCATGTATCGCTCACCATATCCGTCTACGGTTGAGAGGTACTCCGAAATTAACACTAATTCGGCACATCCTTCCGAGACAGACAAACAAAATGTGAATGTTAGTTCTGTTCGTGTATAATTTCTCTGTAAGTCTATTTTTTTCGACAATATATCGCAAAAACCAAGATAAAAACCTTATCATTTGATGATTTGCGTTGTTGTTGTGATATGGATGATCCTTTAGTTTGATTCTCTTTGTGTCGCTTCGAATTTAAATGATTCTCAAAGGCATTCGTCGATTGAAATTGTTTGTTGCACAATTCACAAAATGACGATCTGGTGCCCAGTTCTTCTTTTTCCGCATTCTTCTGAAGTATTGTTGCTTCGATCAATCATTTCTTACAGTTTGCTATGAATAACGACCATAAGAAATTCAAAAAAAAACTTCTCTATACTTACCTTATCCTTGAATGACAGGACTTTTTGTTCGAATTGATGTGCAGTTATTGGCGGTAAATCAGCCACCTTGAATGATGATAAAGTGTTAAACAAGTGCACAATTTCGAATGAGATGTTATAAAAGATGATGAATTAGAATAAATGTACACAAATCAAAGCGTTCAAATTTGTGTGTCGAAATGAAATCAATCGGAGGCATCTGGATGACCGATCACACATTAAGAGAAATGATACATACACCAATGCTTTCACGACTCAAAAGAACACTAATATGACGCATGTGATAATGCTAAGAAAAAAAAACGAACCCTTCGTTTGATATTGTAACGATGCCATTCACTTCTGTAATGATCTCGCTGAATTTCACCATTTGCAAACACAACACGACATGAAATGCACGTAAGCCCAGTTGATGCATCCAATTTATTCGCATTCATTTTCTTTTTTCTCCTTCCTCAAATATATTTCTGAAATCAGTCTGAATCTTCAGGCAACCTGGATGAAAATTTCTCATCGAAAACAAACGCTAAGATGTCAAATGCGAACGATTCAACAAAACGCTTTAAAATTCAAAAGTATTAACTGACAATATGATTATAACCATAAAAAATACAAAAAAACTGACAATAACAGTCAAGTGATTGCAAAGATTATATTGAATGTCTCAATAAAACATTTATGTCCGATAATCACGAAATCTCAACAACAATAGGCAACAAATGAAATAACCGTAACCATAACAGCACTAATAACAATAACAAAAACAACAATAACAAATTAACAGTAACAAACAAAACAGTGCGATAAACAAGTGAAAATAATTTCAACGACGAAATATTACAAACAATATGAAGTCTTCAGTTCGCTTGCAGTAAGCAAGAGATTATTTATATGCAAAGCGTTATCTGGTCGAATACTTACTAATTATAAAAAAAGATTCCCCATTGTGCTTCTTATGGAAAGAATTCAAAAATCGCGGTTTCACTTATTTATTCAGTTTTCCAATAGCAATACATGAAATATACATTTATTTGCTAACCGTAAGCAAGTTGTGATCCTAAATTTCTAGTGACTTAATTGCTTTCAGTTATTGGATCACTTGATTTATTGCTATAAGAATCATGGAACAATTATTATGATCGAACATAACTGGTGTTTATTCATTGACTCATGAGAAGAATTACATTTTTCGGTGAATTCGAAATCTGACTATACATTTGATCACCGAATATATTTGACATACGAATTGAATCAAATTTATTATGAATAATAGTAACTTGGACAGGATGATCTTGTGCAGTCATATTAATGAACTGCGAATAGAACTGCGGATTCGACGGAGGCTGATAGAAAACTAAACTCTTGATTCCCTGAAACGAAAATATTTTCGTAACAATGAATGTTATGACTGCAATTTCATACTAACTTTGATCTTGGGTTATTATCAATATTNTCGTTTCTAAGCGAACGGATAAACTGGAATGAAAATGAACGAACAACGAGTTCAAATTTGACAGATAACACTTACTTTCCCTTGTTTAGCGTATTCGTTGAGCTGCACAAAACTTTCACCGTCAACTTTAAATAAATTTCGTATTCGAACAAAGTCGAAATATGACGGTATGAATATCACAGTTCCTTGCTCGCATTTACACAGAATCTTTTGCTAAACAACAAGACAACTTTAAATATTATCGATATTCACCAAAAGAATGTTATGACTGATTCATTTACGGCTGCAAATTCATTTTTCAATTACCGACTCTACACTAACTGTCATGAATATGCTCTATTAACCAATCATTTAAAAATTCTACGGAAAAACTGAATTCAAGAACCAACTCTAAAATATTCAAAACGCTCGTCAGACTGTTGTTCAGCTGAATTAACGACGAGTCGATGCAGTTGCTGGTATACTGGTACGTCGATCTGAATTATACATTCATCAGCTTCTTTACATACACATTGACTGAATGCATAATTCATTTTGATCCATAACTGATGAAAGCATTTGATAAATGAGCAAATAAGCGTATGAATATACGAAGGAATGAATGAAAAAAACTTCATTAAAAAATCTGCTCCACTGAAGCACTTACACAATTCAAAATTCCTGTGGATTGTGGAAAGTGTGAAAAGAATCCAGCAAAGTTAAAACATTTCAACGCGAATAATGCCTCACATTCAGCGAGTTTCATCGACGAAAATAAAAGTGTTTGCCTGCAAATGTGATATCTTCACACAAAATACCTCCTCAATCTTATCGTTAAAATCGCTTTCTCAAACATGCAACAAACAAAACATGCACAACAACAGCAATCCCAAACAACAACGAACTATCAACAAACCTATAAAATTTGGTGTGTTCCGATAACGCCCACTGACGAACGCGCGATATGTCAACATTCAGTTTCTCGGGTCGATTATGTAAACTATCCATTATATGCAAAAGATGCTCCCAATTTTGCATTAATATTATATCAGCCTTAAACATTTCATCGGTGTACTTTAAAAAACTGATCATCCGAAGTGGATAATGATATCATCATGAAAAGATGTCCGTCTGCTCATAACGATTCTAATAGCAATAAACGTAACAATGGAAATTGAAGCAAACAATAACTTGGATAGCTAGAACGATACCAATGATAACAATAATACTACCTTATCAATGATAACTACTTCAACGGATGATAAGAAGTCGGTCTGATGATTCGTTTCTTCTTCATCTCCAACAATCGTCCGCAAGCCGAGTGGCGATGCCACAATGATATCAGATTCATCAAAAGATGTATACAATTTCAAACTCTTCTTCGCAATTCCAACACCAATTCGGAAACAATCATCCAAATTACCACTCATCAATTCGCGATACTCGTCTTCTACCTTCATCATTAATTCTCATTCTAATTGCATGATAATATCGCATGATAATAATTACACAATAGCAACAAAAATAAGTAGTAGCAATGCGTCATAAAATCACAAAAATACCAATAATAATGATAATCTTCAGATTGAATGAACTAAACGAACTTCATAACAGAAACTAAATAAACCTCTCGTTTAGCGTTAATCCTATAGCCAGTATCATCGAATTCGTCATGAAACCTTTGTGAATTACTGACGAAAGGCTTTGTTGAGTCACCGAAAATCAACTTTTTGAAGTATTCAACAATTCGAAATGCATCTTTCTTCATCGGACACAATATAAGTGCTTTACAACGTGAAAATCCTTGGTCACGTGCCATCTCGATGGCATCTTCCGTCAATGTGCCCTTGAAAATTTACTTCTTGCTTCACGACAATACAAAAACGGTTTATTTTTATTTATCGGCACCTCTTGAAAGAGGAAAATATAACACGTGGACGATATGCATTAACAATGAAACCGCAAAAATTTCAGAATAATGATATTATTTTAAACAAAAACCAAAAGTGAAGATAATAGATAGAAATTCGCAAACAATATGCTAACCTTTTCTCGCAATTCTTGTAAATTACGAGTATTTGAGATGACCATATTTCTGGTCTTGATTATATGATTGAGAACGTGCATACAATAAAGAACCTGCAAAATACCATTACCCAATATATACCTCATGAAATTATTCGACGAAAATGCAATATGCGATCAATGGAATACTGCGATGAAGTGTCATCAAATTAAAACGAGAACAAATCAGAATTGGAAACGAAACTTCAAACCTCATGTTGCCGACCTTCAGTAACAAGCGATAAATCAGCATATCTCCCGATAACATTGTAAATTTGTAATTGTAATTTGGACATCTCACCATCATTCGCCACATTGAAATTATCAATCAATTTTGATGGTACATCAAACGATTCAATTGGCGTTTGCAATTGTTCATCCACATCAACACTTTGTTCACTAAGACGCTTTCTATAACGTAGCAGACCCAAACTCTAAATTCGGAACATTTCACACACAGCCAGTACAATTATTACCAAATAATTTCAGTTTCGCTATCAGAACATCGCTATTTGAACACTACTACCTCGGAGCTTAAACCTTCACTCGCAAAGCAATCGTCTGAGACTTGAAAGTATCATCGAAAACCGAACGAGAACTGTCATTTTTCGTTACATGGTGCAATCGCTTTATATTATAACAAACTTGGATTATTGAGCGGGTAGTTCTCATTCTGAGTGAAACAATACGAACGAAAAAGGAAATTCGAATGTACACATTTAGATTCTCACCTCAACTGTGCTTGTTGAGAATTGCGATAAGGCGCTCGATGATGTGTTTAAACGATCAGCAACTGAACAATCAATCTGATACGAAAAATGCTTCGTGAAATAATCAATCACATCTTTCGATCTTTTTGTTTGATCGCTTGATGCTGGCGCTTCATTCAGATTTCTTTTGCGTTTAATCATTTCATGAATACAATAGTCCTTGGTTCTCACCTAATAATCATAATCAAAACACTGCATGAAATAATATAAAACCAGTTCACAATGTTGGCCCTAGCAAAGCCATATCGCATTGTTTTCTGATTATATTTTTGTGAAAGCGATGAATTCAATTCCATCGAAACGGAACGAAATTCTCGGTCAAAGCATTCGAAAATCATATTCTTCCTCAGATCAAACTTAACTCCACAACGAACTTTTTTGATCAGTACCAAACGAAAGCAAATAAAAATTTGAACGTTTTCACACCACAGCTGACTATAGGGAGCAATAAATTATAATATTATATAGAAATGAACGTGTAAATGCCAAACAATTCAAGTATTAATTGACAGTTTCACTAATCGATATGAGGAACGAATTACGATCGCAAGTCATTTTCAGATGAAACAAACTATCATACCTCTCAAGATTTATTTCCCTCTAGCGCTGCAATAAAAACAATAACATCATTTAGATTAACCGATAATACACTGATGAAACTTCTCTGAATCCACGCAAGAGTCTAAGAACGACAGCCGTAAGCCAAAAAACGTAACATTCATACCATGAATAGTACTAATCAGAATAATTTAAACAATAATAATACTAAGTGACAATAATAAAAATTGCAATAACATTGACTACCATAATGACCGCTATGAAAGATAAAACACGATTGACTGGCTTAACGAACAGAACAGTAATTTTATTGGGACGAATATTATTTCATAAATGATAACATTATGCATAATATCAACCAGTGCAGTACGAATACAAAAACAAGGAGATATAATAGCATAGAAAAATCATTTAGTAATTGCTTTCTTACCGTTAGAAGGAAAACCCATCAAAATATTACGCAAGATTTCAGATAAGAACGAGAAACGATGGATGAATAAATAAACTGCTCAATCGAATCTCAGTAGTTATTCACGAAAAAGCATTTTAAAAAAAANAAAAAAAAGAATACTTGTCGATGACGAAACAGTGAAATCATGGCGATCAATGAAAATAGTCGAAGAAATGATAAGAATATGGAAAATAATAATAACAATTACTGATCACCGGACGAAGGTGTTTCTTGTCGCATTGCATCTGGTATGGGTGGAGGAATCGAGAGGGGTTCAACTGTTAGTTCATCTTCTTCTTAAATGATCACTTTTGAACATCACCCTCATCGATCACATAATAAAATGTTACTCAAAACAACAGGCACGATTTGCATCATTAGCAAAATTATGCTATCAAACGAAAACGTTTAATAAAATGTAGGTTCAATATGACTGCGCTAAACACTCATAAAATATATGTGATGTCACTTAATGAAATCAATCATCATAAATGAAAAGTAGGAGCAACAAAACAAATAGGTGAATCGATCCTGTATCTAACTCGCATGATGACTTAACTTTCTATGGTCAAAAGAAGGCTGGTGTTTCTCCTAAATTTCAAGTTTAATTCTGCGAAATGAGTATATAAAAGAGCAAAATTCGCATTCCAATCCTAAGCTTGCACATAAGTGGAAGCCATTATACGAGAGGTTTTTTTCTAAGAACGCAACTATACGAAACATAAACAATAAACAAACCAGTTGTAATAATAAGTCCGATACAAGCAGGGGATTGTGCTTTTGCATTCGTCTGTGAAAATCCATTTTCAGCCAGCGTTTTGCGATCATCCAGTGGCACCCAATTACCATCTTCTGTTTGTTTTTGCAATATTTGATCTTTTACAGGCACCTTAAATTTTCCACTTAATCACTTTTCACAGCACTTTCATAGGAATTTAATCATTCCTGAGTGTACTTCACATGATAGTTCAATGAGATGTAAGAGAAAATATTTATTACCAATATTGAATAGCAATTCCATTTCGGAAGGTTCCACTTCAGTTTGAACTCACTCAGGAAAAATCTTTGTTTTTATAATGGATGTAAGAATGGAACGGAAACGAATGACTCAATTCATTCTGATATAACTTGATTCATTACCGATAACTAATTTTTTTTATCAAATTCTTTAACAGCGCGAACCTTTCGAAACTTATTATAATCGTCTGTTATTCTTCACAACTGTTTAAAAAAANAAAAAAAGCTAACTGAGGAAAGCAATATAATAAAGCCATCAGTTAAGATCACAGAGGAGTGTTGAAGTAGAGAGATGTAACAATAATAATTTCATACCTTAAGTATACCCTCGAGAATCCTCTTTAATTCAACAACATTGGCAGTTTCCTTAGCATCACAGAAAACGTGTGTTTTCCTTCTCAAGATCTCGAAGAATAGATCCTTGAATTCATATAAATTAACACAATTACATCCAATCCCACGACATTAATACAAATAGATATAACGCTGAAAAAAATGCAATTGGTATGAAATTAAAAGTGAACGACACACCATTTGAAGAATTCGTTGCTTCAATTAGACGTTTCTTTTTCAAAAATTCTTCGACGACGATTCTATTTACAAGCAATTGTTTACTGAGTGAAACATCCAAGCCCCTACCAAAGTCTGCAATGAGTTTCATTTAAACGGATCAAAAATGATACAAAAACAATCAACCACAGTCCAAGCGGTAATGCTTGAGCATTTCACACATGTAATACAGCCAACTATTTCACTAAACGACACTTAAACAAAAATCAAACTGAAATTTCGTAAACGAGATTTAGTCAAAGGAGTAATAAATCAATGAATGTAAAATATAGAACATCTCATAAAATATTCAAACGCAACCACATATTCCATCTCAGCTAAAATTCACAGTGTTTGATGATGAAATTGCTCAACTACGAGCCTTTCAATAGTGAAATACTAGGGAGTTTTCATTCAGCTATGGCATGTCCCCCTGACAATTTATATAACGAAGGTAGTTCCCATGGCGTCGTCGCACTTCGCCATAAAAACGCGTCTGAGCGCAGGGGCG